CCTCCACATTTCCCCCCGGATGCCGATGTCCCACATCTTTTTCCACAATCCATTGCGCCATACGGTGTCGTAGGCTTTTTGTATATCGAGGAAGAAACAGTATGTCGTACGCCCGGCGTCTTTCCTACCTTGGATGATTTTACTCAACGTATATACATGGTCTACACAACTACGATCTGGTCTAAATCCAGCTTGTCCTTCGCTGATCTTTTGTTTCCCCTCCAACATGTCTCCCATTCTATTGTCTATCATCGTGCCAAACAGTTTCCCCACTGTGCTCAACAGGGTTATCCCTCTATAATTCCCCGGGTCAGCTTTATCCCCCTTTTTGAACAGGTTCACGACTACTCCTTCTCTCCATCTCTTCGGCGCGTACTCGTGTTTCCATATCCAGTTGAATATCCGGACCAACATGTTAATCATCCCCTCCCCCCCCTGTTTCAAAAGCTCGTTCACAATTCCATCAGCCCCTGCCGCTTTTCTATTCTTGAGTTTCGCTACGCAGTCCTCTACCTCTTCTCGTGTGAACTCTCCCTGCAACCCGTCTACATCACTACGTTCCCTCTGAGATCTTTCAACGTTTTCCTCTGCCCACGAGTTGATTTCCTTCTCAAACTCCGAGTCGAAGTTGTCGTTGGTGGTGGGTGTCCCAAGTTTGCGGTAGTGCTCTACTAGTACTTCCCTCTTTCCTTTAGAACTGCTTACCATCTTACCCTCGGCACATCTTAGTGTCGTTATTTCCGTGTCTCCCCCTCTTTTCTTGCCTACTATCCCTTGAATTCCTACCCACATTTTCTTCATCCCCCCCTCAAAATCTTCGTTAGTCTTTTGGACTACTTCCTCCCACAACCCTTTCTTCTTCACGACCAACTCCTTCACCCTCTTTCTACTTTCAACATACTCCTTTCATCCTGCATCTGTTTTCCCTGCCGCATATTTTGCGTGTGACTCTCTACGTACTCGAATTGCTTGCTTGATTTCTTCGTCCCACCACTTCACTGCTCTCTTACAAACAATCAACTTTCTACCTAGAACTCTACTTGCTGTTGTGTTTACCAGCTCTTCCCACCCTTCTATGATTCTAGACCCGGCCTGGTCCCGGCCTTCGGCATCCTTCGGTGTGCCCATTGCCTCTATCAACTCCGAGAGTTTCTTGTCGTTTATACCCTCGTTTCTTCTACTAGCTTATCTATTCTCCATCTGTACATTTTCCTGCGTCGCCTACTCTGTATGACTCTCGTCTGTTGTAGGGCCGTCCACACCAACGCGTGGTCTGTAGTGCCTACATCCGTTGTGCATACTCGTACTTCCGTCTCTTTCCCCCCATTCTCTGCGACTATGTAGTCAAGGATGGAGCGTTCTCCTTTTTTGAAACACTGCCTAGTCCATTCCGGTTCTGTCTTTCGTACTCTACCGTTTAACACCTTCATCTCGCTACTGTCAAGGAACCTCAGCATTTCTTCCCCGTTTTTGTTCGTGGCTCCCTCCCCGTATTGCCCTATGGCTCCGTGTGGGTTCGTGGTTCGCCCGATTCTTGAATTGAAGTCCACAACTGGAACTACTTCTCCCTTTGTCTTGAAATTTTGTACATCCGCTGCTACCTCCTCGAACCCTATCCTGATGTCCTTCACCATATTCTTCAACTCTGGTGGTATATATACATTTCCTACGAACAAGTCCTTTCTTCCCCGTTCCCCTGGTACCCTTATCCACATGATTTCCTTGAATTTGGTGTCGCTGATCACCTCAATTATGTC